GGTCTACACAAGCAGTAAGTTGTGTGGTTGGGTATTTGCTGCATGATTTTGCGATATGCCAGTGGGAAAAGAAGCTATGATCAAGAAATTGGAAAAGCAAAAAAGAAAAAAAAAGCTGTTCGAATTTACTTAAAATGGGTCATTCATTCAACAAAGGTAAAGTGATCGTTCGTTGCCCTGCCAATTTGACCTGCCAAGGCAGCTGCGATGGTTGCAATGGTTCCTTTGCGTTTGGGCACCTTGGGGGGCTGTCTGTAGGCTCACCCTGACCGGCTGCTCCGCGCGCAGCTGACGGCAGGTCTGCCCAGGTCTGCCCAGCTCTGCCCCCTTTGCTGTTCCTGTTTTTCTTGAGCTGTTTGGCCCACAGTTCTCATTTTCTGCTCCGGTTTCTTTCTAAGTAGTCAAATGGTCCACTCAGGGTCTCTGTTAGTTTTGGAAACGTCAACATTAAAGGAAACTGAACTGTTGTTTCTCTACCTGATGGAGCAACCAGATGAGCCTTCACTTTTTAAAAAAAAAAAACCACTTCTCGACATGTGTGGATCTGTAAAAAATAATCAGATTTGTTTCTTCATTTTAGATCATTTAAGAGTCTTGGTTTATCTTTTATTGAAATGTTGGGTCAGTGCCTCCAGTTTCATCGCTTGTAAATGACTTTTAGATGTTTTAAAATGAATGCTTATTTTACTGCCAAAACATAATTTGTACTAGTTTGGGGAAGAATTCACAAATGCCAAAATGTTAGCTGTTTCTTAGTGGAGATGAAACTCCCAAGATCCAAGCACAACGTCTTCATTAAACAGAGCACATTGTCACTAGGGTAGACACAGTAGATGTAAGAACAGGAACACTGGAGCCACCCCACCTGGGTTTGCATCCCACTCTGCCTCTTACTAGCCCTGTGACCTTGGGCAGGTTACTCAGCCCTCTCTGAGCCTCAGTTTCCTCATTGCTACAATGGGGATAACAATAGACTCCACCTTCTAGAGCAGTTGTGAGGATTAAATGAGTTAGCATGCTAAAAATAGTACCTGCACATAGTGCTTAGCAAGGGTTGTTATTTTATCACTATCATTATCCTGTTGGCACTCTCTAAACCTATATAAATGGAAGGTTTATATAGTCACTGTTTGAACATAATTCTCTACTGTGTGAAGTAGATTGGCCACTGCAGAGACTTGGGTAGAAAACAAAGAAAAGCAGGCATAGCCTGGGAATTCAGAGCCAATAGGAGTTTTGCATATAATGTGTAGGTAGACAAAGCTTCAAGTCTCAGAAACCTAAATTTCAAAAGAATTACATATTATATTATATTATATCTTTTTAAAAGTTGACTTCTTTTAAAACATAATATTTATTACCTAGTGTATATAGTAAGTGGCAAATATTATATAGTAAATACAGAGCATAGTCAGGGATGCTTTTAATGTTAACTTAATCTTTTAATCTTTGATTTAGACTCTTCAAGAATAAATACATTGGATAAGAACGATGGCTGTAAAAGTACTACTAGAACAAGAGAAAACTTTTTTCACTCTTGTAGTTTTACTTGGCTATCTGGTAAGTAAACTCTTCATTTCTTTCATAATAATGTGGTGAAAGAATTGATATAGTACTACCAAAACTATTTTCTACTTCCGATCTCAAACTATTTTTATAATCTCTTTTAAATTGCATTTTATCCTTTTTGCATTTAATTAATAAGTGAAAGATTTCTGCTTAGTCATGTTGTTTGTAACAATTGTTGAAATGATTTTATTTAAATTTAGGTGGAGTCATAAAATTGCAATGTTACCTATAGTAGCACTATGACAATGATATTATTTTGGATTTATAGGCATAAATCTCTCATAAGATATTCTAGACCCTAACAAGACCATAAATTCTAATTTGGATCCTATGACTTACACAGTTTATGAAGACTTTAGAATAGATTTTTAAAGAGCTGTTATTTTTATGTTGTTATTTATAATCCTCCTTGGTTCCAAAGGCATTAAAAACAGATGGAAATTTTTTTTTTTTTTTTGAGACAGAGTCTCACTTTGTTGCCC